CCAGGGTTTGGATCCCTTCCTATCGGATAGCGGTGGGGGAGGGGCACACATCCCTGGCCTCCTATCAGGTTAAAAAAAGGCAGATCTGGGCCTCTTCCTTCTTGCTTCCTTCTTACATCTGAATGACCAGCTCACACATGGCCTTTCATCTGTCTCCAGGACCAGAAGGGCTCCAGGGGCCAAGGGCGGGGGTGGGGGACTAGGGGCTGGGAAACAGGCTTTCTTTGTTCCTCTGGGTGATGGGGGTTGAGGTTTACTCCCTGGGGAAGTGAGTCCAGGCAGAGCCTTGTCTGAAGGAGTTGGTTTCCTCTTTATTGGTGTCCCTGGTACCCTTTGGGCTCATCTTAGTTGTGGTGGTCACTGGCTGCTCTGGATTCTTGTGATTCTGGATCCTTCAAGGGTGAGAAATATCACCATGTCTTACTCAGTGTGGCTTTCCCTGGCTAACTTCGCCTTCCTAATACTGTGCAGTGGTATTAGGATGTACGCCCCCCACCCAAGGTCTGTAGCAAGGAAATGGGAGGTCAGAGGGGGCAGAGAATGACTGTCTGTGGTTGGGTGGACAGAAATCAAACCGCCATACTCCCATTCCAGTTCCTGATCTTTAGTAGTGAATACAGCTGACGGGTTTAGCTGTGGCCGCGCACACAGACTCTAGAGCCACGAATGGTGTGGGGAACCTTGGGGCTGAAATCTTGTGACACCCATTGGTTTGGGAGAAAGTGCCTGTGCGGTGGGTGTAACGCTTAGCTAAAGGGCATGGCTGCTGCTTCTCCTTCCTATTCACACCGTCCCGTCTACAAAGCATCCCAGCTTGAGCTCAGGTGGCCGTTTCCATCTAGAAACACAACGTTTTAGAGAGCCATGATTACAGAGAATGAGATTTAGGAGATGGCACATGTGTAGAACCTGTGTCGGCCTTTATTCAAGTTTCCATGTGAAAATGGAAAAGTTTTTGAAAACACAACAACCTCAAATAGCTACATGAACATTCAGTGAGTTTCAGGAGTGGAGACCTTAGTGGCATTTTGTGCACGTTTGTCTGCAGTGACACATACAGTAGGATTGGGAGGAATAGGGCCGGTAAGTCGGGCCTGGGCTCTCTTCCCCTCGACGGCCGCTGCTTTCCTATGATTCTGGGTTTCAAAACAAGTGTCCCTAGTCAAAATCACGGAGAGGCAGTTGAGGATTGTGGACGGATGTCGAGGCTGCATCTGTGTTTGAGAGACTAATCTCATTTCCCTGATGTTTTCAAGGTTGGAGGTTTTCGTCTGTTTTCATTAAAGGGGAATGACAAATGTCTAATTTGTACTTTGCTAATGACCACAGTGAGCATTTGAACTTTATTAAGGTTAAATGATTCTCATGCAGCCCTGGCTGGCTCAGCCATGAACGGCACGTGCAACCTTAGGGAAGGTTTTTCTTTTATCCGGGGCTCAGTTTCCTCACCTGTAGAGTAAGGTGAGACGGGGCCTTTTCCCCTCCCCCCTCGGTGAACAGGGTCAGGCAGGAGACCTAGGTAGAGTTTAAGGCCCATTGCTCTTGTCCTCAACTCACAGTCTCCGTACATAACTAATTATAATCTGAGCTATAATTGCAACATGCGTGCAACACAGGTGGAAACCGTGAGTTCCCTCTCTGTAGGGGCATTTGTCACAGTGAAGGAGGGCTCCGCCAGGAGTACACGCTGCTCAGAGGGTAGGTGTCCAACTGCGGGGTCCAAGAAGCAAGCACACAGAGACGGTGTATTTCAGGAGCTGCCCACAGCCCCTTCCTCAGCCCCTGGGCAGTGGCATCTCACCGCTGGGTCCGGGTTTGTACTGAAGACGAATTGCCAAGGCTAGGGGATACTGTAGGACATGTGCAGGGGAGGTTTGTGTCTGTTAGAACTTCCGGGTTCTCAAGCCGCTTGCATAAGTGGCACCGTATGTGCTCATCAACTATAAATACCTTTCTGTATATTTCTAATCACCTCTAGATTGCTTCTAAAATCTAACACAATATGTGCTGCATAAATAGCTTTGATGAGGTATTACTTAGGACATAATAACAAGAAAACGTGTTTACCCATGTTCAACACGGTTTTTTTTTTAAAGCCATGTCTTCAGTCTGTGCTTGGGTGACTCCGAAGACGCAGAACCCATGAGAACGGGGCCTGGCTGTGTAAACTAGAGCCGAATCGGTGTAGTGGCACCGATGCAGCCTGTTCTCACTCCACGTGGCTTTCCTCAGTCGGGAGACGGCTCATGCTGCCTGGGAATTGGGAACTTGTAAGAGTTTCTCACCCAAGCCAGAGCAACTTCGAGAGCATGTGTACTGATGAGCACAATTCTCAAAGGGGACATTGTAGGAAGGGAAGGGGTTGGCAGGGATGTGAGAGAGGGAAGAGAGGATGGGAGTGAGGGTAATTAGATTGCACTGTATATGTGCATGGGATTGTCAAAGCAAAGGTTTAATTAATGTAATTGGAGGTTGTGTGCCCAAGTGGAATGAAATCTGCAACCTCAAGTTTTCCGATCTGTTAGTGTGCCAGGAGAATGTCTGTTCTATTCATGGCCCTGGGCTCTTTGTGGCCCCATGGGAGCTGGTGTTTCAGGTGATAGTAATATGAAGTTGATGCGACAACATAGTTCTTACCTAGTTTTTAAATTAATATAAGTTTAATTGTAAACTGAGTTTACAAATATAAGGTATGTTCACTGCTAAAGATTAAAATAATATATAAGATCTCATATAAGATTTAAAAAAACTTAATTCTCAGGCGCTGTGGCGCATATCTTTAATCCCTGCACTGGGGAGGCAGAGGCAAGTGGATCTCCCTGAGTTTGAGGCCAGCATGGTCTACAGAGTTAGTTCCAGGACAGCCTCCAAAGCAATACAGTGGAACCCTGTTTCAAAACACCAAAAACCAAAGCAAAAAAAAAACAAAAAACAAAAAAACCCTAATTCTAGCCACCAAAGATAAGCAACATTGTTGTGACCATTGTCACAAACCTCTCTTAAGGTAGCATGCATGGGCGCACAGGCACATAAATGTGTTCGGGATTATATGCTCCATCTTGGCATCTGATATTTTCACTTGAAGTCAAAGTCTTTAACTATAAAAAAAAATCAAAACTCTGTGTGTATGTGGGCATAAGGACATGCCGTGACATCTATGTGCAGGCCAACGGATACATTGTTTTCCTGTCTCCTTTGCATAGATGCCTGGGCTGAAGGTTGGGTTGTCAGGCTTGCATGACTGTTGGCAGCATCCAGTGTCAACACTGTCAACAATACTGCGATCAACCTCTCTCTAGGTTTCTTTTGTATCTTTAGGTATTTTGTTGGATTAAAGTTCTATAAGTGGCAATGTTTGCCCAAGGAATGCAGATTGAATGTTTCTGTGTATGTTACCAAGCTATCTTCTAGAAGCTTCCTTTTGAAGCCCTGCAGACAGAGCAGGTGCTTCTTCTGTCTGGGTGTGTAGCATGAGCATGTGAGAAACATCACTGGTGATTGTGAGGCCAAGCTCCTGTGTACGTAGACGATGAGAAAAAGTTGATTGCATGTAAGGAGTTTTTCTGCCTGCTGCTTGTCTTGTCCCACCACCATGCCAGCCCCAAATAACGCACAGAGACTCTGTATTTGATATTATGCTGTTGGCCAGTTACTTGTTTCTTATCAGCTAGCTCTGTCTTAAGTATTAACCCATTTCTATGTATTTCCATGTGGTCTTACCGAGAACGGAGGAATGGCGGTTCTGCTTTCTCCAGTCTCTCTATCTTGACTCCTCCTTCCTACTTCCTCTTTCCTCCTTGTCTCCTAGTCCCTCCTATCTTCCTTTCCTATTGGCCAACAGTGCTTTATTCATTAACCAGTATGAGAAACATATATACATAATGGCATCTCCCATCATTTGCATGTGTGCCTATGGTCACTAAAAGATGTGGAGGAAAACACCACTCTTGACTAGTATTGCTAAACACGGAAATAAGTCGAAAACTTGCCCCATCAGGGTGGAAAAACAAATGGTAGAATACTTATACTATGTAGCCATGAAAATGACATGCCCTACCGTGTATTACAAAGTAGCCATGAAAATGACATACCCTACTGTGTATTAACAATGTAGCCATGAAAATGGCATGTCTTACCTGTATTACAACGTGACCGACTCCCATCTGCAGTGCTGAGCAAAGAAGCCACACATAGACAAAAATGTTGCTTAACTATGCATGCATACTAGACTCAAAGACAAAACACACTTGTCATTGGAAGTCCGGCTGGAACAGCATGTATGCATTTGTGTTTTGTTTTGCTATGGCTGCTAGTGACAAAGTACTTGGCACATAGCAGACGCTCAGATATTTGTGGAAGGAAAACCGCAAAAGCGTGAATACTTACTTGGTCATCTTTCTAACAGACTTTGGCCTAGGATTCACTGTGATGACATGGTGTTCTTACTAGTTACGAGTTACAGTGTGTAGGATGTATACATGCTTTGTTTTACGATTTGAATATGACTCTGAATTCACAGGCCCTTCTATCGTCTTCAACTGATCAGGTAGCTTTTTAGATCTTGACAGGATCATGAGGGCTAGGGTTCGATCCTGAGCTCTTGGTGTACCAGCCTTGTGTCCATTACCTAGTCTTCTGGAGACTCTGTTTCTCTATGAAAACAAGAATGATTACAGAGCCTGTTTTGTAAGAGTGTTGTAATGGTGACATCATGGACATAGAGCATGTCATGTTCACTCTTCCCAATCATACTGCTCATGTTGGGGTTTAAGAGACAGAAGAGTGCAGAGTTTGTGAGTATTGAGCCGTGATTCAGACCCAAGTGGTCTCTACCTGTGGCCTGAACTTGGTGCACAAGGGAGAATATTTATCAAAGCCAATGTGAATGAGCTGATTGTCATGATTTCTTCTTCACTATTACTAACTAATGTTCTCCCCCCTCTCTCCCTTTCTCTCCCCTTCCCTTCCCTTCCCTCTCTCATTTTTCCTCCTGCCACCAGATGTTTTCCAGCAAGGTAAGCTTCACTGCGCCTGGTTGTCCTGTTGGCTATGTTCTTTAGATGGTGGACTCTGTTCTCTCTGAGCATGTGTCTCTAGAAATTTGGGGACCCAATAAGGATGGTGGCCTGAAGTGCCACCATCAGTCTCTTTGGGGCTCTGCATCTCCCTCTGAACCGTGTTTGGGTCTGGATCTGGGGTCTAGACATGTGGGGAAGAGGACAGGGATGACATGGTGCTTGGAAGGAGCAGGTATCCCTGGAGGGGTCTGTCCTTCAAGAGCCCTGCTGCCTTCAGAGGACTCCCTAAGCCAGGTCCAATGGATGCTTCTTTGCTGAGCAAACATGTAGTCATGTGGGTGTGGCCAGGGCAGTTTGTGTCCTCCAACCTAGCTCTATCTCTCCAGCTGTTTCACAGGTCTGGCGAGCTGGAAACCCAAGTGTTTTGTCACTGGTGTCTCTGGCTGGGGTTTGTCCAAACTATGTGTAGACATTGTGCTTTGGAGTCATGACCCGACTAGAACCTTCTAGATGCACATGATGGGGGAATTGCCTTCCAGCCTAGTTTGGGTAACAGTGGCAGGCATGTGTTGTTAGTATGCAAGCTGGGAAATATGTCTGCTGCATCTTTCTGGAACCCAAAGCTGGTTTACAGTAAAGCCTTAAAAATACACCCAGGCGTTCCATAAATAGCTTCCAAATATTCTTAAAGACTCCAGTTTCCCCCCCCTTCCCCCCACCCCACAACTGTTATTTCGCCCCAAACGCGCAGTTCGCGTTACAGAGAATATCTGATCTCTGATAGAAGACAGGTTGTGGGTAACGATGAGGGTTCTGTTGTGTTGTCTTTTAAGAAGTCTGGAGTCGTAGACCTGCTTTCATAAATAATTCAAAGAACTCCAACAAGCTATAAGCAATAAGTTCCATTTGACTAGAGACTAAGAGATGAGCAAAATTGAAAAGGTGTCATGGCTGTCGTGTAATGAGAATGCCATTGTCGGAACCAGTTTCTGCAGTGAGTTCTGGTCCTTGACAAATTGGGGGCTCAGCAAGGGAGCCAGCCCCTGCATGTGAGCTGCAAAACACGACCCAGCTCCCAGCGGATATTTCTCCCCTCGGAACAAAGAGCGCTTGAGTTGGGAATGTGTGTTTCAAGGCCATTGGTGGGGGGAGGAGGAGAGCCTCCCCTAAGGTCTCCTTTTCTGTGCACCACGGCTGAGCCTTCCTGAGTGCTATAATTGATATAAAGAATGGCTAGCACACTGCTCATGTCAAGTTTGTGTCCTTTTTTCCATCAGTCATGGTATTGGATTGATGGGATTTGCCTGTCAGTTGCAATGATACACACAAGCAAAAGTTATAATCATCTACAAATCACTGGCTATTGAGACCTAATAGCATCTGAAAGAGGAAGAGGCCCACAGCCAATAGCTGTCTACCCACCTCGGGCGATGGAGGCGAGGTGGCAGCATTCTCCCGAGGGGTTACGAGGGCCTGCATCCCTGAAGAGAACGGATGTGCCTCTCGATAGCCGCCAGCGGCCTGTAGCTTCTCAGCTGGGATTTGGTGAGCCCTCCCCATCTGTGTAGGGGTTTGGCTGTCTCGGTCTTGTGCAGATCTTGTGCGTGTGACCAGAGCTGCTTGGGGTCCATCTGCACAAGTGCGCTGTCCTGCAAATACTGTTTGCTGCAGATGACGGATCCCTCTGGATATTTGTGATTCCTGGGCTCTGGTTTGATGTCATTGTCCCATTTAGAACTATGCATCCCAGTTACAGTTTCTGCTGGCTTACCACCGCTGACTCCCTGGACACATCTGGTCCTATATTGGTGTGTATGCAGGCAGCAATAAGTGTACTTAGTGTCCAGGGTGGAGAGAGAGTGGGAGGGGGAAGTGGTAGTGGGGTTTGAGGGGGAAGAAATGGAGGAGGCTAGATTTGATGAAAGCATTATATTAATATATGAAATCCTCCAAAAGAATACTCTTCCAAATGTATAGACCAGATATACCTAATTTCTGTTTATTGGTTTTTAATATTTTCCAACTTTGGTGAAACTTATATGCTTTATATCCGTATTTTGTGTAGTGAATTTTTGACCTTGAGTGCCAGAACTTTGGGTTTCGCCATTTGTTGTTGAGGTACTACAGTCCACAGAACGTTTTTATGTTTGAACACACACATAATATTCATCACTGGGTCAATGGAGTTACTGTGAATTATTTACATGGCACTGCTCTTAGAAGACTACTTTGTACTGAGACACCTCAGGAATGATGGCTAAGAGCTTACAGAGCTGATACCCACCACCCTCCCAGTGCTATTTGCTTCCTGCCACTCTCCCTAGGAAAGTACTGCCCAGGTAATGCTGGCGGACGTAGCAGACCAAGCCAAAACATTCTACATCCTGTACACAGAGTCTGAAAACATGGTCATTATGTCCCCAAAACTGGGAGACATGCCTTGTGGCAGAAAGAAATGGCAGAAATCTAGTGTTTGCAAGGCGAAGGATGGCTCTGGTGTCCTTTTCTGAATCCCATTTCATGGTGCCCACTGACAGTGGCCTCTGCCTTCCTGAATGTATCCTGTGGTTTGTTTCAGCATCAAGAAGAGAGGCGCGTCTGCCTGCAGTACACATGTGTGTGCTTGTGTGTGTATGTGTGAGAGAGAGCATTCTGTGTGTGTGTGTCTTTGTCTAAGTGTGTATGAGTGTGTGTGCGCGAGTGTCTGAGTGTCTGTGTGTCTGAGTGTGAATGTATGTGTGAGTGTATGTGTGTCTGTGAGAGGGTGTGTGTCTCTGAGTGTGGCTGTCTTGTGTCTGAGTGTGTGTGAGTGTATCTGTGTGAGGGTATCTGTATGTGAGGTTGTCTGTGTGTATGTGTGTGTGTGTATGTGTATGTATGTATCTGTGAATGAGGGTATCTGTGTGTGCACGCGCATGCGTGTGTATGTGCATGTGTGTTACTGAGCACCATGGCAGGCAGACATGGGAAGCAGGCATATGTTGACAACATCAGACATTCTCAGAGGAAACACAGGTTTATTTCCTCTGGATTGCATTATCTTTTATTTCACTACAGATCAATCTTGTTACAGTAGGTGACAGCCCGGCAGCTACTGCTGGGCCTTTCAGGGCTGTGTGTGAGGCTCGTGTTTGTGGGAGTGCGTTTCTCTCTTGATCCTGTGACATTTTACTTCTTAGTTTGGTGCTTTTGTGTAGATAGAAATGCCACCATGTGTTGTGCTGCTGGGCCGTGGCATCTAAAGACGGTCAAGGACCAGTAGACCCACAGCTGAGTCTCTTCCAGATACAGAGCCAGGGCCAGAGGACCACACTTCCTGTTACTCACAGAGCTCAGGAGCGTCTGGTGACTCTCACAAGCTCCCACGAACCACACAATAGCTCTTCAAGCATGCACTGAGGTACCACACATGGACACTCGACTCCACTCTGCAGTTTCAGGGCTGTTCGTGCCAGTCATTTGATGATGGTGAACAGGCCTGTGGGCATTTGCAAACACTCCCACACATGCATACATGCTTCATTTGAAGCTGCTGAAGCACCTCTTGACTATTCACTCATCCGTAGATCCAACCTTGATTTCAAAATCGAACAGAAACTTAGCAAGCAGCTTCAAAATCAGAACACCGTTGCTCGGTGGGTTTTTTGTAAATAAACACGGGAGCATCGTCTAGATTTAGCTGTTGAGTTAATTCTCTCCGTGCTCAAGTCGCTGCGTGAGCTGAGACCGAAGAGACAAAGATCCCCTCACTCCAGCTTCTGCCTGGGGTTGGGCTCTTGTCGTATGTCATATGTCTACACCTGTGAATAGGTTTCAGGTACTTTGCAGGCCTTGATGACTGGGGAGTGAGCAATACAGTCGCTTGTCATTTTCATGGGTCTAACAGTTGGGCATGCAGGGTAGTTGGTACCTAAGGAAGCAAGGGAGTGAAGTATTTCAGAGTGTGTCAAGTGAAGGAAGTGTTCAAGGGTGATACTCGGGTGCCTGGGAGGGACCCCTTATGTGGTGTGGTCAGGGAGGGACGGTGGATTAGTCGTTCCAGACAATTGTAGGGGAAAGGTTTGCAAAGGAAGAGCCCGTGGGCAGTTACCCAGTGTCCTGGGGAAGCTGATGTGGCAGGAGCTGGTGAGTGGAGAGAAATGTGTAGAATGGGCATGGAGAGCGAGGTAAGAGTGAGGTCTGGGGCTCAGGAAGGAAGCTAGAAGGGGCTGTTCAGTAGAAAAGTGGTCGGGTCTCACAGGAAAAAAAAAATAGCCTTTTCGGCGGTAGAGCAAATAAGCGCAGAGGAGCAATACTGATGTACGAAAACCAGCCTGGTGCTGCATGCCCATTGGGCCCGGGCCCCTCTGAAACCAACACCCTGTCCAAGTTACAAAACCTCCTTTCCCCAATACACATGCATGAACACGTATGTGAGGCATGTGTCTTACTTGTGTGGCATGGTTGGTGCCCATGTATGCCTTTTGCATGTTACATAAATATCTAGGTATCTCTCCTCAGACATCCACAGGCGGAAAATGTGGTCAGGCATGCTTGCAGGCCCACTGAGCATGTGGCAGATTATTTTTCTTGACATTTCCCCCCTGAACTACATGTATTGGTGGCTGTTTACAAAGCACACACGTTGTTTCAGGTGTTGCGAGCCATCTAGAGAGACTTGAAGTGATTGGGAGGATGTTATGTATAAGTACTGTTCATTTTATATAAGGTCTGAAGCACCTGGGTTTGGAGTTCTCCAGAGGGGCCTGGAACCCAACCAACAGATTCCAGGGCATGGCTACATAGGCGACCCCTGGGTTGACCCCTGGATTCTCATGCCCTTTGGCCACAATTCCTTAGCTCCCCATATCAGACAGAAACCATGCAAAAATCTGGATAGCTCTGAACAAGAGGTTTTCCAAGAGCAGCCAGAGATCCAGAAGTGGACGAAGAACTTCAATCCTTGGGCTTTTATATAAAGCTTAGACAAATGAACCAAGACCTGCTTTGTGCCAGGA